AGGTTCAGTGCATCGTAATTTTTGCCCATGAGATGGACAGGGATGCCCATCATGACTGCCACTCGTTCCACAGTTTCAAGAGCTTCAGCTGGTTGTTTGGCCCACCATTCTTCCGTCTTGGCAATATTGTCGGTGAGCACTTTGCGTTTGGCATCGGAGAGTGCAAGTTCTTTCAACCATTTGTTGAAAGCTCTGACTGCAAGAGTGGTTGGCATGTTCTGAGTGAGCCATGGATTGACACTGGTAGTGCCGACAAGGAGAGATGATGGATCAAAGCTCGGTGGTGCAGGAGGAGCTGATGGTTGGGAGCTTCGAAGAAGAGCAGCTTGAATGGGTGTGGCCGCAGGATTGGATGCTGAAGGGCCAGTAGTGCCCGGAGAAGAGGAATCGCCTGGGGTTTCCCCAAGTTGTTGTCGCAATTGGGCAAGTTGACTCCGGAGTTGAGTCAGTTCGTGTTGAGTATCGGGATCTGCCGTTCTGATAGGAACCCAAGTGTGGATCGAATCTGCAATCTGTTGAGCAGCATACTTGGTGTTGTTGGTCTTGTCCAGCAACTTCCCATCCTGTCTGGCTTTGCAGGATGACACCTTGTCAAGGTCCACCCCTTTGTTCCGAAGCTGAGTCAGTAGTTCCGTCATGAATACCACAGCCGCGATGTCCCCCGTCGGGATCAGGTACAATTCACGCCCATGAGCCAGCTTCCGAAGCCAAAAGTTGTTGGCCTGCTGATATAGTAAAGCCGCGACCGGTAGCTTCAAAGGGTCGCATCCCTCGATATCCAGCTTTTGTGTAAAGGCTGAAGGTCGAATACTTCGAGGGAAAGTCAAGCCGTTGATCTTTTGATTGTCGTAATGGTCTTGATCTTCTTGCCAGTGAGGGTTAAGATCGAAGCCATATGTACGACTTTCATCAGTGGTTGACTGTGCCCCTGGTGACTTGGAGAATGGAGTGCCAGAATGGCGAGGTTGTGACGACGGGATCGATGGAGTGCTGGGCGAAGCCAGTTGAGTTGGAGCACATGGAATCGTAGGAGAGCATGGTGGAGTGACTGAACTGGAATGACGTGGATAGGCAAGTGTTGGTGGTGGTGACGAAGGAGGTGCAGGTGGAAATCTTGGATTTGTGGATGGGAATCTTGGATATGGCCATGTGGTCATCGACGCTGATGGATCTGGCGTAGTCATCATATAAGGTCCCGGCTGGTGAATATTGAACTGAGGCTGAAGCTGAGGTCGGAGCTGAGGTCTGGACTGTTGAGAGTGCCATATCGCTGATTGCATGGGACCACACCATCGAGGAAAGAAAGGAAGATCTTGCCGTACAGGAGGACGAGGAGGGTCAGGTGCCGCACGATTTCGAGCAGGTGAACGGGATCGATCAGACTCTGCCATGGTGATGTGATCAACTCAAGATTTTCCTTCCCCGATGAATCAAAAGAGCTGCGGTGATTGCAAAAAACCGACAAATCAAAAAAGAAGCATCAAGTGCAAAAGGAGCGTAAATTGCATAAGATGTTTGTCAGTGGATCAAGTCCAAACAAACCTGAGCGAAAGAAACCAATCAAGGAAAACACAATGAGTAGGCCGCAGAGACACTGGTTTATTTTGACCAAAGCGTGTGTCCAGGGAATCCCTAGAAAGGATGTAACGATCCTGTTTAGGACAAAAGCTACAGATACACGATCTGAGAGAACTATTCTGAGTGCTTAACGTCGATGTTTGGCTGCATGCCGTTCCTCGTTGTCTCGGTAGTTGACATTCTCCTCAGAGTCGGTGTCTCGCGGATCGACAGGGCGTTGGGGCAGGTTGGCATCACCGAGATCTGACCATTTGATCGCGATGAATTTCAGCCCCACGTGATGGCTATGGGCAATCGTGTACCTCTCAGGAGTGTTGACGATTCCCTTTTTGATCACATTGATCTGACATTTCTCGTTCCCTCCAGCACGGAGTGAAAGATGGTCAACTGCTCCTCTATAGATCGCCCCAATGGAGATTTCTTGTTGGCCTTTTCCTTTCTTCTCCATAGAATCGAGCAGTTCCAGTTCTGCCCATGATGGGATGGTCTTGTCAGAATTCGCAATCTGTCGGCCTAGATAAAAGGCTCCAAAGCTTGGCATGCCGCAACGCTGTGGGTTCTTGTGGTAGGGCCAGTTTGCTGGTCGGATCTTGCCCTCCATGAGGATCAGCTGTGAGGCAGTGATGGTCGTACCATGGGTAAGTGCCCATGTGATGAGAGTTTGGCCGCCAAAAGGTGGGGGCATTGAGAACCGGCTGATTTCCGGTAGGGGTATGACCAGGGCCAGCATGCCCGTTTGGGGAAGTTCTCGCACATAACATGTGGAGAGATCCAAATCTGTCAGGATGCCAGTACTCGACAATAAATATATGGCCTTTCTGCCAATATCTGATGGGATTCTGGAATCAACTTTGGCCAATTCTTCCATCGCTTCCTCGCAGTGCTCTTGGATAATACTGGTGGATGGTTGTGGAAGCTCCTTGGCATCAAGTTCGTTTGCAGCTCTCATCCGATCGGGATGGGTGAGAGCATATTTGACTTGACGAACCCAGTCCTCCTTGGAACCTTCTTGAAGGTTGATGGGAATATGACCAGGTGGAAGAGTGGAGGCTCGAGACTGAGCAGACCCCGAGCGATTAGGATGTTTGCCATGGTGGTGAGAGTGCTGTTCAAGTGAGAATGCCGTCAAAGGTTTGGAAGGATATTTGGAAGGCGGTACATCATAAGATTGATGTTTGTGGTACGGCTTTGAGTAATCGACCCAGCCGGAAGGATGCGTGTAATATTGAGGCTTGGACTGATCTTTCCAAGACTGCCAGGACTTCCACTTTTTGGTGGAGCTGTAATCATGGTAGGTGGAGTGGTCTTGGTAGTCCGACTTGTCGACGATTGAAGGGTGTTCGTAGTGGTGATCGTTCCAAGATTCAGTTTGATAGGTGGTGGATGAATAAGTATAATCATCATCACGTTGACGAAGTTCATCTCGCTGATGTGGTACTTCACGATGACGTGGGGAGTTTGATCGAAGGGTGACTGACTGAGGACGGCTTGGAGGTTTGGAGTCGTCCCGTGAGCGGGAATGTCGACGACGGTGACGTGGTCGGCTGTCGCGTCTGTGACGTCTTGGACTTCTTGGGATTGATATAGGACGTTTGTCCACATGAGTTGGAATGTGTTTTGACCGTGACCTGGAGCGGCGATGAAGCCTTGGAAGTGGTGGTAACGGGGCGACAGGTGGAGGCTCTGCGACTGGAGTCGCTGGTGGAGGTTGTGGCACACCTGGAGGAGGACTCTTGGACCTTTCTTTGGTCAGTTCCATAAACGCTTGCATTCCCGATTCCACTGTGTGACGCGCCTGTTGAATCATCTCTTCTGGATTGAAGGTGGTGTTGGACCCTTGTTGAACAGGTTGAGATGGAGTCGGAGCAGGAGGTGTTTGGACTGGCTGTACCATTGGTGGATCAGGTACTGATGGAGGAGTCTGATGAGGTGCCGTTGGCGGAGGAGTCTGATGCAATGGGAGAAGCTGCTGAAGTTGCTGAATATGGGTCTGAGCTTGGGAATTCAATTGTTGATGCAATAGTTGATTTTGTTCCCTTAACTGAGCCAACTGAGTCTGAGTCTGAGCTTGTGACTGAGCTTGAGACTGTTGGTTCATCATATCACCTCCACAAAATTGACCAAATTGTGCTGCAGCTTGAGGTGGAGTAAAGGCAGGCGCTGACCAGCCGAAGTTCCACATGTTCTCGGACAGGTTTGGCCAACGATTAGGAAACATGGCCAACGATGACAGGTCTGGCAGCACTGTCAGACGATCACTACAAAGGTTAAATCACTAACATTAGATGCATCCACAACTCATGCAGTGTTCGTGATAAGGCTCAGGGCCCTCGGCTTTCAAGTCACAACCCTCTGGACGGCTAACGTGTTCAACCCCTGAATTAAGTGCACAAGTTGGGACCTCACCAGAAACCATCAAGAGAAAGAAGAACCACACCTAAAGCATGTCCTGAGACCTCCACATGGAGCCATGTCATGATGCAACTTGTCTGTCAAACTCTCGAGCAACGTTGAAAAACGGATGTTAACGTGGCTTCCAACTATGCATTCAACGGTCAAGTAAGAGGTGATTCCCAGGCACAGCGGGCAGCAGTTCAACACATCGACATCGACCGGTGAGACCTTGAAAAAAGGCCGTCTGTTTCACATTACTTAGACGAATTACTAATTCAAAAGTGTAAATTCAGACATCGTTTTACTGTCAATTGTTAGCCTAGAAAGGCTTTCCCCGAAGGGTTCCTGCCAACTTGGCGTACACAGCAGGAATGACACACTTGCTCAGAAACATCATTGCGAATTACTGTTGTGGAATGCATCTCACGTGCACAAACAATCCCTTAAAAATCTGACAGGAGAAGGTTGGATGACAGGGCAAGAAACCATTGTAGAAGAAATCTTCGTCCTTGCAAGAAAGCAACTGTTCCATCTGACGAAATCGGCAGTAGTTTAGATTGCGAAAACCGTACAGTGTATTGAACCTGTTGATACAGAAGTTCTGAGGAAGGTCCTGATGCAACTGGAAACGACATGCCGGTTCTTGGCTTAGCCGGTCGCCATTGACGAAAATGAGAAAGATTGAGCAGGTACGTGGATTGAGCGTCCCCAATCCATATCACTGTGCAACAGATGCGTCTTCGTTGGATGGAGACATCTGAAGCACACTCCATCCCCCTGCTTCCTACAAATCCGAAAAACAGCCATAACACAAAAGAAGTTTTACATCTTTTCAGATGGTCCACACACACACACACACTCTCTTTCTCTCTCTGTATATACACACTATAATTGCATTTAGATATGCAATTTCTGTGAAGTGGCACATTCTATTGACTTGTTCCTGATTTGGCTGTAGACCTGAATGCTTATGTTCCATACGAGCATGTGCATCTTTATTATCCAGAAGTGGACCTGAAGTGAACAAGGCATGCGCGCCATACGAGGAAGCTGGGCATTCTACTTAGCACAGCACAAAAACAAGCGTTTGGGCATTGGCAACAGCATCGTTCTTGTGGCAAACAGCCATCACATATTTGAGGCGAGGTCAATTTGATCCTGAACACGAGGCTCTAGTGGAAGTACCACAGCTCTTATAGCTCTTCCGTGGAAGTACAACAGGTTTCCATCACATCTGAATTGGGAACCATTTTGCAACATTGCGGAAATGTTCTGTCCTGAATCCAAAGTGTCATGTGACCAGTTTCCCTATGCCAGCGTCTCTTTCTTCATTACTGCAATATGGTTTGCAACTCAGAACTGGAAGCTTGCTGAGTTACATTGCCATTCTCTGGCATTTTCACTTGCGGCTACTTTCCTTCCACAATTTATCTTTTGAACTCGGTTTTCGTTAGGTTGGAAGGGCTCCTGCATCTTGCTTGGTGCGTTGCTCAGTGTTTTCAGAACCTCACAAGGAACCAGAAGACAATAATTAGGTAAGCAGGCAATGCCCATGAAGGTGCGATGACACTGGCGAGAAATTAGTCTTGGGTTCCCTCTGCACTTGTAGACAGTCAACCATTTCAGTGGTGCTTGGTTCCTTGCAATGCATTACAGAGCCTTTTATGGTCTCAAGACTCCAGCTGACTCCTCTAGGTTTGAATTGAAAAGCAAGGCAGCAAGGCAAAGCAGGATGCATCATGATGCTTCAAACACTGCCACGAACTCCTCGAACAGGGTTGGAAGTGCAATGAAGTTCACGATGGGTTTAGGCCAGTTTCCATTGGCACTGAAGCCCCAAACCCATTCCTTTTCGTGTTCTTGGACGTACTGACCAAACAACGGAGATGCTGCAACCTTGTTATACAAGAACTTTCTAAAATCTCTTGGTTTGAGATGTTTTGATTGTTGATTCCAATCCTTGCTTTAGAGACCCATAGATAGCAGCGCAGACAACAAAAACAAAAGAAGACGCGACAATTTGCTGCTTTTATGTCAGGGGTGTTCAAGAAAAAAACACATTTGAGGTGAATTCCTGGGACTTTGCAATCATTGTGTTTTCAATCATTGTTTTTCCTGCAGTCAAGTGGTTATTCGAAGGACAAAACACATACCAACAAAACCGTAAAAGAATTTCTAGCTCCGCACTTTGGGGATGTTTCAGGCACATGACCAAGCAGGCGGAATATCAAACATGTGCAACGCCTTTTGCATTGCTATTGTTTCAGTTTATTTGTTTGTCAAGACTAGATTGAAAGCACCAGCACATCCCCAAGACAGAAAAATAGATACAACACAAAAAAACAGGCTAAATTATACAAATTCGAACAACCCACCCAAAATATCCGAAAATCAGGTCCTTTCTTGCTTTCTGTTCAGAAAAATGTCAGGCTTTCAAAATCCCCTTGCACTGCAAACCTCAGGACGGATTAAATGCTACCTTGTTTCAAGATCTTTCGGGTCGAAAGCATAGCAAAAGCCATCCTAGAAAAGGGGTCCAACATTTTTTTTCAGCTTCCTATCAAATAGGGTTGCAACGCCCCAGCAAAGTTGCCCGACAATGACGCACAATAAGTCCCTGAAATGCAAGAATCCTATTCCCTCATGCGTGGAGGTAAGTGGATAGAAGATCTGACCCACATGGAACACATGATCCCATATGATCTCTATATCAGTGATCCTTTCTAATTGAACATGTCGGAAGTTTGCCAAGCCTTCCAAAGTGGCTATCCATTTGTTCCCAGCATTTGAGGCCAAGCGAAGATTTGGCAATGCTGCCGAAGAGCCTTGACTAAACAGCTATGCAAAATGATGCAAAGACAAATCATGATAAATCATGCAATTGAGAATGAATATGACGAAATGAGGACATCAACGGATATCAACGCATCGTGCTGGTGGGAACTTGCCACCAACCATAAGAATTCGTAAGCAATACATTGGCCTAAGAGGAGAGTCCCAACTTCTATGTTTAGTGGAATGTTGTTGATATGTCGCTATTGGCTCTTATTGGTTGATGTGTACTTATTTTTTTCAAGAAACAGGGCAGGACTGTCATAAATTTCCAAAAGACATGAGGAGCGTTTCTATGAATATTGGAGATTGGTAGGGTGTTTGTTTGGTTGCGACAAGGCGGGTAAGGCGTTAATCTGAACTACAAACATAGGATGCTACGGTGAAAATCATTGCAAGGCCGGGTGGGCCTGGGCCGACGGGTGAACAGGGTGAAGGTGGGGTAACCGCTTGAGCTTACACCACGCAAGATTCTACGCCACACAAAATGCAAAACGCTTTCTTTTTATAGTCCACATAATCCACATTAATCTATATAGATATTCATGATAGTCTCAGGCTCCTCCTACAAGAAATGCGCGTAACATTTGATGCGAAACCTATGTAGCTTGAAAAAGGCCAGTGAATAAAGGGTCGTACATAAATGGTGCTTCAGGCCAGTCACAACATTTGGCATACACGAGCAACTTGAAAGTGTCAAAGTGTCAAAATGGAAGAGAACCATTGGTGTCTAAGCAACAGGTGAACATATTTGGTGTTTTAGCTGCCAACAAACTGCAGTGACAAGTGCTGCAAGCAGAAAGGTGAGCTTCACATCATTCAGAGTACAAGTAGACTAAGTATCAAACTTACTCAAACTTTGTTTCCACAGCAGAGAAGAACATGCTCCTGGAAAAGACTTCCACGAAGGGGTCCATTATGATATATGATATACGATAAATGATATATGATATATGATTTATGACATATGATATATGATTTATGATATTTGATATATGATATTTGATATATGATATATGATATATGACATATGAGATATGATATATGATATATGATTTATGATATATGATATATGATATATGATATGATGTATATATCTATCTATACTCGTGCTTATAGGCATGCATATAGAAACATTGAGAATCTAGACAGATCCCAAGACTGCCTACTGCACATAATTTCAACATTTTGATAAGTGGGATGTGCACCTAGTTACACACAACTGAGGCGTTTTCGGTCGGTGCTATTTTTGGATGTCAGAGACCTGTTTCTGGCACCTGGTTGTGTGATTTCATTCAGAGGAGACTGACATGTCCAACGATCTTCAATCATGGATTCAGAGCAGAATATTCATTTCGGAATGCTGTGCAATCTTCGCAATCTAGACCCCATGACAGAATGGTCAACCTTGCAACGTGGCTTGTGTTTCTGGCAGAGGATGGTCTGGGGTGGGAGCTGAAGGTCTTTGGAATGGCAGATGACGTAAAAGCTGGAGAGGACGCTCTTGGTTTTGTGTTGTAGCAATCTCAAAATTCTCAAACTGCGATCCCAAAACAAATATTCATGTTCTTGACACTGCTCGCTGGCAGGACACAAATGCAGGTTGGTTGGCATTGCATTTCAACTAACTTGCTGATGCTATGCCATATCAATTCCATAAATGCAACTATTTGTCATATAGAATACTGTATGCGCGTGTTCGAAAATTTGACCTTTGTCCCCCAGTCTGGATGCCCTGTCTACCTTGGCTGAGATTTGTGTCTTGTGCATTGTGTTTTTCTCCATCTCGGTAAGTGCGTCTTGTACGTGTGTCTTTGGGTTCTTGTCCCGTGCTGCCCTACAAGATCTCATTTTGGAGTTTGTCCGCTCCTCTCAAGTTGCCAGTCGTTGCATCGCTTTCTCTGCAGGTCAACCATTGGTTGAGATTAGCAGAGAGGATGCTGTAAACGCCTTGGAATTTGACGGTCAGGAAGACAACTATGTAATTTGAGAGAGAGAGAGAGTAAATGAGATGCTACCTCTGTGTTTTACTCACAAGCAACCACATATTACTACTGACTACTGTTTGTGGGATGTGATCATATTCAGAATATGACACAATATGACGGAATGTGACGGAATACAGTACATGTGATTTACTGTATTATGTAATTTATATGTGTGATTTGATTTGATCTGATGTGATCTTACTTCGTCCATCGCTGCTGAGGAAGCTGCCGACGAGGCGCTCAGTTTGGCCGAGGCAGCTGTGAGAAGATGGAATGCCCTGCCAATGGGAACCGAAGAGGCACAGAAGCATCAGGCGCGGTGCCGCTTTGCAGCTTGCACCACTTGCACCACTTGCACCACTTGCACCACTTGCACCACTTGCACCACTTGCACCAAATCTGGTTCAGAATGCAGTCCGGAAGGCAGAAATCCAGCGCCTTTATGCACAAGCCTTCACGTGGCGTAAGGAGGGAGAAGGGCAGGGGTATGCATTGATACAAGTGGAGCAAAAGATAAACCTCAATCAATATCAATGCAAGATGAAAATCCATGCTTTTCTGTTTTTCATCAGTGCAGTTACAGTGCGCAGCTTGATATGTTTCGCTTGTGCTCAGAAGCTTTTGATGATTCAGCGGAAGGTTTTGAATGGAGAAGCTGCAAAAAGAGCAGCTGCACGTGGGGACTTCCACGAGTTGGACTTGCAGGGGTCTTAACTTTGCCATAGTGCCCTTGCATAGAAATTCAGTTGCCTTTGTGTAAAAGAAGGGTATGCAAATATTCTTTTCGCTCTATGCTCATCAATGGAACTATATAGGTATAACATGGTATAACTATAACTAGCTTTTTTTTGGGAATTTCTGCACGGCGATTCGCAGACGCTTTTGGTTCGGGATTCATCTCCAAGACTAGATCTGATGAAACGCATGAGTTTGCCACCTCTGCGCGCGATGAAAGGCAGCTGTGCTGCTTCGCTTCCTTTTTTTGTTGTACACAACCGTTCTGCTACATCATTTCAGACCCACATAAATCCCAAGTAGGTCCCGAGAAAGTCCAAACTGATTCCGAATTTGCGCCGAATTCATTCTGACATTCTGACTCTGGGGCTGTGCTGTGGTGACGCTTTGTGCGCATTCCGAGCGCTCAGGCTGGAGCCTGATATGCGGAGTTGGAACCGACTCACTGAGCTCGGGCTCCTCAAGTGACCAGTGACTGACCAGTTGGTGATGGGAGATGGCTAATATCTTAGCATTATGGCATCTCAATCTACGATCGCGCACTGTTTTCAAGTTCCGTTGCAGATGACCTTGATACATTGTGACGAAATTCTGTCAGCAAGGGTGGTAAGCATGACATATACTGTACATGTAAGTGAACCTTGAAGACTGTAGACTTGGGTGGACAACTGGTGTTTCTTTTGCATGCTGTTGTGCAGAGCATCTCTCCTTGATTCCAAAGCACTTGCGGCTGCAGGCTTTCTAAGCGGCAACTCAACAATCTCTAGTTCACAGGTTGCTTTTGGATTTTTTTGAGCCTTGAATAATTATATAATTATCATGAATAGCAAGAAAACATAGTTGATTTTGCACCTCTCTCATGTCATAGCCTTTCTCAGCAAACGGTGTGCTCAGGGAAGAGAAGGAAGAGGATCCATTTGCAGACTCCCTACTGGGACCATTTGTGAATCAACACAATGAGGTAGGGCAGCATTGGGTACTCTGTTGTAAATGATTCGAATCACAACAAGTTCCCACGATGACATTTGATTGATGCTCGCAGTTAAATACAGTAAACTCAGTAAACATACTTTAGCGAACTTTAATGTTGATTAGCCGAGCTGCATGCACACTTCAAAGCAGATGTGTGTGTGTATATATATATAGTTATATGTATATATATATATACACAGAGATACATATACATATATACTCTGTATGTATACATAAAGTATCATATACACATATACACATATACACATATACACACACATACACACATACACACATACACACATACACACTGTGCTTAGGTTGATTTGATGATGATGAGAGTAGAACTTGCCGTCGCCTGATTTCCTAAGTCACCTTCGATGGGGCACGGTTGCAAACGGTGAAATTCGGGCAATCGATTCTTGCCAAAGGACTCAAAAACAAGGTAATAGAACAGCTTGTGCAAAAGTTCGAACCAACATTGCAGGTACGTCAACCCAGCGTCCCAGGTTGATATCACTGTGACATCAGAAGCGTCTTCGTTGGCTGGAGACTTCTGATTCACACTCCAGCCCCCTGCATGTCTGAATTAAAATTCAGTTCTTATTGTCGCCACATATTGTCTTCCTTGCTTCGTTGTACGAAATTGTAAAATATCCGTATGTTATAACGGGTTTCACACACACACAAGCCCCGTAGGGCGATGACGAAATTACATGAGTAGTTGAAATGGCAAGCTCACACTGTCGCTCAAGTGACAGAATGGCAGTCCTGAAACTTCACAAAAACACTAATGGAGGAGCGAAAACTCTGTGTGAAATGCGGTACTTCATGAGACTAAGCCGCCAACCATTGTTTGTGGTGAATTCAGTTCAGTGAGCGAAAGCATGTGAGGTCCGGGCTGATAACTCTCGTCAGGTTGTTATGTCGAATACTCTTTTAAAGAAATTAATTAGTTAAAATGACAGACGCACATTGTCACTCAAATAACAGAATCGCTGTCCTGAAATGTTACGAGACACTAACAGAGGAGTGAAAACGCTGTCTGGATTTCGGTATTTCATAAGACTAGGCCGCCGACCATTGATCGTGGTGGATTCAATTCAGTGAACGAAAGCGTCCGAGGTCCGGGCTGATAACTCTGGTCAGGTGATTATGTCGAATATTTTTGTCGAAAAATCTTCTGTGTCAAAAATCTTGAGGCATTTAGAACTCTGAAACCTAAAGCATGATTGGGGGTAACTGAGGTCCCGACACCACTCAGAGCACTATACAATCGACGTCTAACATGGAGAAATTGTGACAGCTGTTGTGGACAAGGGCAAAAGAGATCAATTCATGTTAGTAGAACCAGTGTAGAGTAGAGGTAAATCCGATGGTCTGTAAATGGCGACAGACTTGAACCCAACATTGAAAGGTTTGAACTGATGCAGCCATGAATAAGTTACTACACACAAATCACATTCTCATGCGTATCTCTATTTGGCAAAAAACAACAGAGTGCGACAAGTTAAGAATGATTGAGTAAGCTGTTCACTCCTTTTTGTTAAGCGAATCTGAAAACATCACGCGCTTGTAAATGTGGATGGACTTGGTGGATAACAGTCATTATGGTCTTGCGTGCGGAATCTGTGGTCACAAGAGCAGAGTCTCGAGATGATATCAGTCCAATGAGATCTTGAATTTGAGGTAGATGAAGATGTTGTGGATACACGCCCGTGAGAATGAGTCGAATACGAGCAATAAGACCACTGAGGGCGGTACGTGAGACACCACAGCCAGAGCTGTGTCTCAAGGGTTTGTTCCATGGTAACTGCAAAGTAATGGTATGTTGTAGGCAATCAATTTTGTATCCCAGGGCTTCATCACCAGGTACTGGTTCCAAAAGGATGGGATTTGTATAGAAATCCAGTCTCCAAAATAGGTCAAAGTCCAGACTGGCGCGATCGATGTCTGTTGCTAGAATCAAGCGGTTGTCGACATACCGATGATGAAAATTCATGTTTGTGCGAAAGACCTGAAAATAGGAATGAAAAATCCATTCTCTGAGTAATGCAACTGCTGAACAGAAAATGGGTGCCCATTGGGAACCCATACTTGCACCACGACGCTGTTGGAATACTGTGCCTCCAATACTGAAATAACTATGATTCAAAAGGTATTGGCTGAGCGGTTGTATATGGGCAAGACAAATTGGTCGGTATTTGTGGCTATGTGACCGCCAAAATCCACGAAAAATTCGTAAAGTGCGTTCCGTAGTCTCTTGATGAATGTTGAGAAAAGAGTCAAATGTTTGTCCTTGAAGTTCACAAAACCGACACACAGCAAATTGAACAGCCTGTAACATACGAGAATGATCAACTTGATTGTAAAACCCAGCAATGTCTTCTTGTTCCACAGTGAGTTCACCATAAGCGTAGTCTTGGTGGGAAAACAACTTGGCAATTGCATGTAGCACCGACTTGATATCCGTAACAGATAGGAGATCAGAATATACAACTTGCAAAATTTCATATAACGCTGTTGCTAGTGCACTTCCAATTGGTCGACACCATGCTCGAGAATAATCCACAATTGGTCTTGCTTTTTGAAATAACCTGGATGGTTTTGGGAGAATGTATGCGGTGCTGAGAGTGGATCCAAATTTGAAGCCCCATTTGTAGTGTTGCATAATCCAGTCAGGGATATTTTGTTGAATGTGCTTCAATAACGGAATAGGATACGCTTGGCAGCGAAGAAATACCGAAGTATCCAGGAACGTTCGGTTCATCAAATATTGCCACTGAGCAGGACAGTGTAATGTCAAAGAATGCGGAAAATGATCTGAGGGCGAGACTACAAAAGAACGTAAGCGATGTTGAAGTCGCTGAATCTGTTTCTGGGTCTGTCCGAGAGAATTCTGTTTATAGATCTTCCACTGTGTCAGGATGAAAGCTTGCCAATATTGGATCAATGAATGTGATAGCTTCCATCGATGCAGCCACTGTTCGAATTGATACGTGTTATGGTGAAAGAAGTGTCTCCATGATGGTGAAATCTCTTCAGCCATATGTTGATGGAGAAATGCTTCATCAGGAAAGCATTCTTGTGCAAAAACAGAAATATGTTCGGTTTTTCGTTCACGTTGTCGAATATGCAAAGGAAAGAGGTGGCATGTACACAAAGGTTGCTGTTCAGGTGTCCACCATTTCAACACTTTTCGAAAATTGAAAATGTTTGTCCCAACGTCCGATTCTTGATGCGCACAAATGGTGCCCGTACTTTGTGAAACGGAGGGAAATTGATGGAATGATGAAAAGTGAAATTCAGAAGCCACTGTTTTATCGCATCGTTCATGTCGTCAGATAGAACTTGAAGTCGCATAGGCACATTGGGTGGCGGAGATTCCGTTCCCTTAAATCTGAGGATCAAACGAAGTTGTGATTGACAGCGTGTACGAAAAGGTTCTCCCAATTGATGGGAAAGTCTCCAAAGCAAGAAAAGATATTGTATGTCTGTTTGTGATGAACGCAGTAATTTGGAAACATGAAACTTTTCGATGGTGTCAGAGCCTAAACGAGTGAGTAATGTGTAGATTCGATCCGCAGAATGAAATCTGAGGCCCAAAACGCACCGCTGATTTGTAGCCGTTCGCTTCAAATATCGACGACAAAACTTTCGAGTCTTTTCAAGAAAGGGTTTGGAGACTGAGGGCCCGAACCGCTGCTTCCCAATATGGAACTTCTGTAAGAAAGGCTTGATCCATGGCCAATTGTATTTAGGCCGGTACGTCGTCTGAAATGCCGTTTCCATGGCATACAATTTGTCAAGGTTTTGCTGTTGTAAAGGAAAACAGCCAAACCTGTAGAAATTGTTCAGGTGGAACCAAACTTTTAGGGCAGGCTCGAAATACGCAAGTTGTTGGTTACCAAGTTGACGAAATTTCCGCATACGGCTCTGTTCTCGGTCAAAAACAGAATGTTCTGTGGCTCCAATGTAAAAATCAGCATCCCAGAGATCCAAACGCATGTAAATAACTGATGTTTGTGTCCACCATGTCCATGAGAATTTAAACGGAAGTCGTGCATGTTGAAGGATAGTCATCAGTCGTCGTCGCTTGTTTGTCCATGAATTCAAACATACTCCAAAAACTGTCCATTGACTAAGAGACCATAACAACATCCGTTGAAGTCGCCAAGTCAGTTGTGGAGTATATTGCAAAAGACATGCAACAAAAAAGATGAAGGATTGAGCAATCTCCCGAAATTGTGCGATCTTACGTCGTGCCTTTCGGGTGTGTGCTTGGTCAAAAGGTTTTATCAAGCCACCGTTAGTAGGTGGGCTTACTTGATCTGTAGCAAATTCAAATTGTCAGTTTCGCAGCAGCTGAACTGCTGCCAACAATCTGATGTGAGCATCAACATTGCATTTCGACAAAAAGGAAGAGGAGAGGCCCCAATCGCTTAAAATTGGTTCCAGGTTGGGTTGATTCGCCTGATCGAATTGTTTCAAATGGTTTTGAAGAGTTTCAACACACTTGTTCAATTCTCCCTGACGTTCCTTGGGAACGTTCTTCTTCACCCAATCACGGACTTTTGCCTCAGTTCCTGTTTGAGGTGCCTGGATTGCATAGAAGGCTTGGGCGTCTTTGCGACGATAGGACATCAAAGGGTCTGCAGGACTGGATGGGCCTCCTGGTGTACTACTGTTGGGGAAAAACGCATTGATTTGGGGTTGGCCTGTTGGGGGCCGCTGCGTCTGTTGGGATGGTGGATTACCACTATCTGGAGCTTGGGATGCTTTCAATGCAGCATTCTCAGCCTTGAGTTTCTCTAGTTCTTCTAGTATGGCTTGCTGTGAATCTTGAGGACAGAGAGTGCGAAAATGATCTAATGTTGACTGGACCAATCCCTTGATACTTGTCAACTTCGTGTCCCATTCTTGCGGATCTTGACCCTGGGGTGTGAAAGCTCCCAACAGTCGATGGAAGTCCAAGGTGTCCTTCTGCTT